TTACATATTGACCCACTGGTTACATATTGACCCTCTGGATATGTATTGAACCACTGGATACATATTGACTAACTGGTTACATATTGACCAACTGGAAACATATTCACCCACTGGTTACATATTGACCCTCTGGATACGTATTGACCCACTGGTTACGTATTGACCCACTGGTTACGTATTGACCCACTGGTTACGTATTGACCCACTGGTTACATATTGACCCTCTGGTTACATATTGACCCACTGGCTACATATTGACCCACTGGCTACATATTGACCCACTGGCTATATATTGACCCAATGGCTAGCTATTGACCCACTGGTCACAGATTGACCCACTGGTCACATATTGACCCACTGCTTACATATTAACCCTCTGGTTACATATTGACCCTCTGGGTGCGTATTGACCCACTGGTTACATATTGACCCACTGGTTACATATTGACCCTCTGGATATGTATTGAACCACTGGATACATATTGACTAACTGGTTACATATTGACCAACTGGAAACATATTCACCCACTGGTTACATATTGACCCTCTGGAAACTATTGACCCACTGGTTACGTATTGACCCACTGGTTACGTATTGACCCACTGGTTACGTATTGACCCACTGGTTACGTATTGACCCACTGGTTACATATTGACCCTCCAGATGCATATTGACCCTCCAGATGCATATTGACCCACTGGATACATATTGACCCACTGGATACATATTGACCCACTGGGTACATATTGACCCTCTGGTTACATATTGACCCTCTGGTTACATATTGACCCACTGGTTACATATTGACCCACTGGTTACATATTGACCCTCTGAATACATATTGACCCACTGGTTACATATTGACCAACTGGATACATATTTGCCCACTGGTTACATATTGACCCATTTGCTACATATTGACCCACTGGCTACATAATGACCCACTGGTTACATATTGACCCACTGGTTACATATTGACCCACTGGTTACATATTGACCCACTGGCTACATATTGACCCACTGGTTACATATTGACCCACTGGTTACATATTGACCCACTGGCTACATATTGACCCACTGGCTACATATTGACCCACTGGCTACATATTGACCCAATGGCTAGATATTGACCCAATGGCTAGATATTGACCCACTGGTCACAGATTGACCCACTGGTCACATATTGACCCACTGCTTACATATTAACCCTCTGGTTACATATTGACCCTCTGGGTGCGTATTGACCCACTGGTTACATATTGACCCATGGTTACATATTGACCCTCTGGATATGTATTGAACCACTGGATACATATTGACTAACTGGTTACATATTGACCAACTGGAAACATATTCACCCACTGGTTACATATTGACCCTCTGGATACGTATTGACCCACTGGTTACATATTGACCCACTGGTTACATATTGACCCACTGGTTACATATTGACCCTCTGGATATGTATTGAACCACTGGATACATTTTGACTAACTGGTTACATATTGACCAACTGGAAACATATTCACCCACTGGTTACAGATTGACCCTCTGGATACGTATTGACCCACTGGTTACGTATTGACCCACTGGTTACGTATTGACCCACTGGTTACATATTGACCCACTGGATGCATATTGACCCACTGGATACATATTGACCCACTGGATACATATTGACCCACTGGATACATATTGACCCTCTGGTTACATATTGACCCTCTGGTTACATATTGACCCTCTGGTTACATATTGACCCACTGGTGACATATTGACCCACTGGTGACATATTGACCCACTGGTGACATATTGACCCACTAGTTACATAATGACCCACTGGTTACATAATGACCCACTGGTTACATATTGACCCTCTGGATACGTTTTGACCCACTGGTTACATATTGACCCTCTGGATACGTTTTTTTTAACACTGGTTACATGTTGACCAACTGGCTACATATTGATTAATAAATGTTCTTGAATATATATGAAAAAAAATGTGTGTTTGAACTGCTAATTGCAGTAACTACAGTACAGATAGTAATCCTCACTTTAAAGGGGTATCACTTTACATGGTGTGGTCATATACATGTTATCACAGTTTAAGGCATATCCTTTTACATTTTGGGGGTTTATTGATTAATTCTTCTATCTTTTCAGCAACTATGGTACTGATAGTGATCAAAACTTTAAGGGATATCACAATGGAAACTCTGATCCCAGGGGATTTGGTAAGTACACTACATGAGATATTACTGATCCAAGAAAACTGGAATTTAGATTAGATACTATTTGTTGGCTATTATAACTTGACAATTATTGAGTGATTTTATTTCGATACACTTCAAACATACTCTTGCAAAGTAAACTGGCAAGACCTTTCTTGGGTCTAAAAATTCACGAGTAAATGATTTTGCAATGTCTTGTTATACATCACTGGTTTATTCACATTGTTGAACTTGTGCACCTAATATTGAACTACTGTTCATCTTCTCAATCTTCAGGCCATATTGGATTGTCTGTTCCTGATGTTTATGCTGCTTGTAAAAGATTTGAAGAACTAGGAGTAGAGTTTGTTAAGAAACCTGATGATGGTGAGCAACTATTAATTCTGCACATATGTATATGATGTAGATACAATGGCGATTCAGGCTTTTTTTCATTCACTCTGTTCTACATCACAGATGAAACCAATGTTCAGTATTACAAGCACACTCTGATCCTGATTTGCAGATCAAAAATTTAATGTATGTGTTGAAGATGATCTTTCATAACAGAGACTAGGCCCCAGCTTTTTGTGCTCAAGGTTAAATTTCTTGAAAAGTACAGCTGCGATTAGATTTATTTCTGTACTCATATCAGGGAAATTATGCAGTGTATATTGGGTTTTTAAATGCATGCTCACCCAGAGCCTGTGTGCATGCATGGCTGCAAAAGGCAGGCATTGTAGAACTTACCTGTACTGTGCTCAGGGCAAGTGCATGCATGGTGGCACAATGTCTTTTAGAACTCACATATGCTGTATGTTTCATTAGAATTGATTTCTATATTGTTGGCGTATCTCTTCAGGTAAAATGAAAGGACTTGCATTTATTAAGGATCCTGATGGCTACTGGATAGAAATTCTGAAGGCTGACAATATGAAATTTTAAATACATTTACATGTCGACTGGATTGGATGAAAATGGTGAATTACGCATGATAGTCAACCTTACACTCAGTGACGTTTTGAGTAGAAGCATAAACCATGCATGTCTCAAATCAATAATCAGACTGTGAATCCAGCTGCTGATTTGAGTATCTACAAAAATTTGCATATTCTTAAGCAAGAGCAAATACATCTTATATGAAGATGTACGATTCTGGTTGTAATGCTGATTAGTAGTTATTTACAAATTGTTTGTCTAGAATAAACCAGTCTGAAGAGATTATATTGTTGTGTACAATAATTTACTATTTGTTGGCCATTTTATCATGACAATTATCCAAACAATGAGTGATTTTATTTTAATAATCTTTAAACATACTCTGGCAAAGTACACTGGCAAGAACTTACTTGTTCTATGATTTTGAAATATTTATGAGTAAATATCATGAAAGCAAATGGTCAATCAGAAGGAAACTATAGTTTGTACTGGACTCGTGCATTTGCAAGCTGCTGAATATTGCAATGTAAGTATATTTTAATACAGCATTGTGGTGACCTTGTAAAAGACTGGAATTTTACCATGATGCACTTGATGATGACTAGTAAATTATCAATATTTAAAAACACTGTGATACTGGGAAATTACTAATATTTGAAAGCACTGGGAAATGTTTCTGTATTTGAAGCCACTGGGGAAAGCACTGTAATTCTGAGAAATAGCCAGTATTTAAAGACACTGTTACCGGTAAACGATCAGCATTGGAAAGCTCTGAAATACTGAAAAATGGCCAATATTTGAAGGCACTGGGAAACTACCAGTGTTTGTAAGCAGTGTAATACTGTGAATAGCTTATATTTAGTCCCTGTTCTGACGCAGTCCGAAAACGGGGACTTATGTTTTGACCTCCGTGCGTGCGTGCGTGCGTCTGTGTGTGCGTCCGGACCTGTATCTTAGAAATGCCTGGACCAATCACAATCAAACTTCACACATACATCATTCATGATATCATACATATGCAGTCCGAAAACGGGGACTTATGTTTCGACCTCCGTGTGTGCGTGCGTCCGGACCTGTATCTTAGAAATGCCTGGACCAATCACAATCAAACTTCACACATACATCATTCATGATATCATACATATGCACGTCAATTTGTTTCATGATCTGATTCAAGATGGCCGAATGGCAGCCATTTTTGTGCTAAAAATCATCATAATCGAGCATTTCCCGGTTTACAGATGGATTTTGTTCAAACCTTGTATATACGTTGGACATTATAGGACCTTGATGCACATCATTTTGTTTTACGATCTGATTCAAGATGGCCGAATGGCGGCCATTTTTGTGCTAAAAAATCATAAAAAGCAACCATTTCTCGGCTGTTTACAGATGGATTTTGCTCAAACTTGGTATATATACATTAGACATTAAGGGACCTTGATGCAAATAATTTTGTTTTTCAGATAACATTCAAAATGGCTGACTGGCGGCCATTTTGTATTAATCAATGTGATTCTCGTGCCATATCTCCAATATATTGTTTTGACTGATTATGTTCAAATTTTAAATATTCATTATACATCATGTCATAGATATATTAGTTTGACGATCCTATTCAAAATGGCCGAATGGTTGTCATTTTTGTACTAAAAAATCATCAAATATCAAGCATTTCTGGCATTTATGGATGGATTTCGTTCAAACTTGGTACATACATTAGACATTACGGGTTCCTGATGCACGTAATTTTATTTTTCAGATCAGATTCAAAATGGCTGTCTGGGGCCATTTTGTTTTAATGAATGGGTTTCCAGACCCATATGTCTGACTTGTTTTGTCTGATTATGTTCAAATTTTTAATATTCATTATACATCATGTCACAGATATACGGATATATT